GCACGGCGGGGTGGGCAGCTCATCCCCCCCACCAGATATAGGTTAAGGGAGCGAGCGGCGCTGGCACCAAGCGCAGGGATGGGGGAAGGATGCGGGGAGCCCGGACCATGCTGATCATCTCCAGGGGGAGGCGTGGGTGGGTGTCAGATGCAGGGGGCCATGTGTGCCACCCTTGGAGATGGGGTGGCATCATGGGTGCTGCTGGGGCCGTTAGCGAGAAAAATGTGGGGGTTTTTTTTTCTGGAAATGGAGAATTAAGCCCTAAAAAACCAGAGCTGCTTCTCTCTCCAGATCTGCACCATCCCCAGCCCCAGCAATGTGGGTGCTCCCCACTGGGTAACACAGCCAGGGCCTGGCAAGGGGGCTCAGGGATGTGATGGTGGGAGCCGGGATGGGGAGGAGGGGACGTGGGACTTGGTAGCGTTTGGCTGCCCCTGGGCTCCTTCTTCCTGGAGCTGGGCAATTGGGAAATGTCCCGGAAACAACTCTGGGAGGGAACTGTGTAGGTCCAGGGCTATTTGGGGGAATATTTTGGGGGAAGAGGTTTAGCCCACCCGGGCAATGGAGACGCGGGCTGGCCCTCGGCCACGCTTCCTCCCGTGGTGCCCTGTGCTTCATCCCAAGGATGACTTTCTCTCCCACCACATGAGGTGCTTTTTCCACAGCCCCAAATGATTCCTTGAGGGTTCCCCATCCCATTTGCCTTCATCTCTAAGTCTTAGGGTGGGGGACAGATGTGTCCCCATGAAGCAGCATCCCTGGGCATTGTGTCCCTTTGCAAGGAGACACCAGAGGCGCTGGTGGCAACCAGGAGGTGAGATGCTGGGGTAGGGACCTCTCTCCCCATCCCCTGGGCTGTCCCAGGTGGGACCTCGGGTGTCTTTAGGGCTCTGGGAGGCTCTTTCACCCCTGAGCACCACGAGGGATGGAGCAGGAGGGTGGATTCCCCTCTGCTGAGCAACACCATGGCCCAGCACGCAGAACCATCAGGGCCAAGTGGAGAAGATCCCCTCAGTTCCAGAGGGTCCCAGGAGGGTGTCACACACCCCTCCTGACGTGCAATGCCCCAGGAAGAGCCACAAGGATGGGGAGGGCTCTGGAGAACAAGCCTGATGAGGAGCGGCTGAGGGAACTGGGCTTGTTTAGCCTGGAGAAGAGAAGGCTGAGGGGAGACCTCAGCACCACCTACAACTGCCTCAAGGGAGCTTGGAGAGAGGTGGGTGCTGGGCTCTTCTCCCAGGTGATGGGGGATAGAACAAGGGGAAACGGCACCAAGCTGTGCCAAGGGAGGTTCAGGTCAGAGCTAAGGAGGAAGTTCTTTACTGAGAGGGTCGTCAGAAGCTGGCACAGGCTGCCCAGGGAGGTGGTGGAGTCACCATCCCTGGATGTGTTTAAGGAGCGGGTAGACGAGGTACTTAGGGATATGGTTTAGGGGGTAGACAGGAACGGTTGGACGTGATGATCTCAGAGGGCTTTTCCAACCCAGCCATTCTGTGATTCTGTGATCTCTGCTAATTCTGCCGAAGCTGAGGAGCAATCTCCTGTCGCACGCGTGTCCTCAGGTGAATGGCATGGACAGGCTCGGGGATGAGAGGTAGCAGGGATGGGAGATTGGGGAGCTGCTGCCCCCTTCCCCAGCAGGCACCTGGGGGCTGTGATGAGGAGAGGGGCTTCTGGCCTGCGTGGGACACAGAGGTGGACGAGATATTGCAAGAGGAGAGATTGATGGTGCCATGTGAATGCCCCTCGGGTCAGCTGGCAGAGGCTTGCAGCCTCCCCAGGAGCATCAGAAGGGTTGGGAGGAACCTACTATTGGGGCTGGAGATTAAACGCGTTTTACTCGCTCCCCACTGTTCTCCTCCTCTCCTCTTGCAGATCTCCGCCTGCAGCTGCTGGATGTGAAGAACAACCCCTACCTGATCAAGGCCCTGTATGGCCTCCTGATGCTGCTGCCCCAGAGCAGCGCCTTCCAGCTCCTGTCCCACCGCCTGCAGTGCGTCCCCAACCCCGAGCTCATGCAGACCGCGTAAGTGCCACGGGGACAGCCCCCCGCCATCGGGGCTGGACGCACCGTCCCCCTGCTTCGGAGCATCCCCGCGATCCCGGGCTCAGCCCCGTGCTCCAGTTTTCACCCCCTGACTCCTTTGTGGCCGCGGCTGCTCCTTGCCCCGTGGCCGGGAGCGTTGGCTTGGGGGGTTTTTTGTGTCTATATTTGGTAACCCTGGGAGGGCTGTGCCTCATCCACAGGCATTTGGCATCCGGGATGGAAAATTTCACTTGTGGGGTCGCTATGGAAACGAGCAGAGCCGGGAAGGAGGTTTACGGAGAGAGACTCCAGCAGCCGGGGGTGCTCCCAAAGTGTCCCCCCCGCAGCTCGGACAGCCTTGGCGGCACCCAAAAACGACCCCATCACCCATGCACGCCTGGGGCCGGCGCCACCCTCACCCCCGGCCTTCGGGGACCCGTGAGCAGCGATGTGCAAGGGCGGTATCTCTACGGGGACCACCCGAAATCTTCCTGCTCCCTGCCCAGGGGTGCTGCCCGCCTGATTCGTTAGACCCCAGCAGTGGGATTTGCTCTCCAGCGCTCGGCTAAGGAGCAGGGGAGGTCGATGATGGAGCCAGCTCTGCCTTTGCAAAGCCTCGGGAACAAAAAAGAGCTCCCACAATGGGCAGGTCTCTGAATTAACCCCCCACC